CAAAATACCCCAAGGGCGCAAACCCGCCATACAGCGGTAAGCATTAAACGCCTCAGTAATGATTGAGAAGAGAATGGTAGTCAAAAAACCACGTCCCCAGCGAATAACATTCAAAAAGCGGCTAAGCATCGTACTAAATTGAGACATCATCGCTGGAACTTGGTGAGTATTCCTTACTCAGCACGCGACCGCAAACTGGTTAGGAAGTAACAACCCTGTGATCAGTTGCATTCCATGGCCCTAGGGGGCTGCAGCCACGCATGTTCTAGCTAAGAAGATGCGACCTCGGCTTATTCGTATCCCTTTCACTTGGTGTCACCATAATTACAGAGTTATTATTTATTTGGCTGTGGGTGGTTGCGAGACTTGTGGGATTCATGCTCACATCACTCTCGTTTGAACAGTCGTCCTCCCGCCTTGATACAGTTATTCTGGTGAGTCTGTGACAGACGACGAAAGCACCGGACTCGAGTTTCCCCTCTTATTAAAGCTCATCGGTAGTACATTCCTTGGCCACGCCGGGGTTTGAACTCCGCGCATCTGACATGCGAGGCCAGTGTGCTACCATTGCTCCATTAGCAAACGCTGGACACATCTGAATTATTACATGTGAACAGGTGAACATGTTCGCACTTGAGCGATTTGAGTGGTAAACCCGACGCCTCGGATAGTGACCCAGTAACACACCTTGGCTGTGTCGATCGAGTTATTGGTTTGTCCACATTTCAAGACTGCACCAACATTAACTCGGTATCCGTATTAAGTAATATGCTAAAAACGATATAATCTCAGATCAGGAGAAAAGGTCCAACACTAAAGCGCAAATGGAGATTGTTCGACAGCACGGTTTTTCTCACAGTAAACCCGTTGTTTGATGCTTTAGAGCTGATGGGATGGTAGAAATGTCGGTGGAAGAAAAGTGGTCAATTCGGTCTACAAAATCACACCAACAACGATTTTTCACGGCAGCTTGATAATCACGCTGTAGTAGTGAATAGAAACGTCTGGATATGTAAAGTGTCGCGAAACTTACCTTGTCCAATCCACTAGCCATCACTAGAAACGCGGCTGGGACTTGATGTCCTCGGGCGGTAGCGCTACTTGGGAGATTGTTGCACTGCAAAATATCTTCGTATTCTGTCCGACCTTTGTTGAACTCATAATCTTCTTTGCGAACTGTAGAAATCTAGTGGTGTGGTGCAAATGAGGAAAATCTGTCAAAGTTATCAGAAGGGAATCGAGTTGCTGCCTCACATGAGTTGCTAACATATTGCGACTTAGATGCATTGGACAACTTGTGCCAGTTATGCACCTGGTTTTGTCAATCCACATGCGTATCTATATACCATTTGAGAAAGACATAGCAAATCCAACCGCCGAAACTTGACGCAACGACAGATCGGGTCAGTCAGCTGCTAAAAGCACAGAGAATCACACTGCTAACATGCCTGACGAAGATTACTTCCTAATGGTGAATGGTTGAACTGCTGACGGGGTATAGCTGGTCTACACCATACAAGTGACATCTTTAGCTTACCGTCCATGTTTACGGTAAATCAATAAGGCGTCTGTAAGCCATGCACACCAGGTACGCTGGACCGTAGACTCAACTCAGTGGAAGTTGCTGGTTATGACTCCACATGCAGATAAGAATCAAGTGGTTTTGTTAAAAAAAACAGCGTGAGGCATTGCTTTTCTAACCGCAGAGATAAGGTGAACTCAAAAAACGCCTTTTGGGTAACAGGATAAGTAGAGAATAGACATACCTCAGCGAGGTCAGAGAGGAGGTCACCTGCCGATTGCAACTCTTGTGAAACGCACTTCAGTCTAGCCGGGCCATTGTCCATCACAGCCTGTTAATGGAATGAAAAGAGAGTTCATTTGGATAATTTTGGATCGACAAATTGGGAAGCGTCCACCACCGACCAAACTCATGAAATCAGCCTTCTTGTGATTTCGTTGAAAATAGTACTGTGAGCAGAACCCGTAGCTGCCGTTGCGTGATCGTTCCGACTTGCACTGTGATCCGCAGGACCTAAGCAGTAACTCAATAAACGTCCACCGAAGCTTGGTCGCGAGTGGCATGCTTCGAGTGGAGGCTCTTAGTTTCAGCAGCGACAACTAGCTACTTATGAGTAAGCACGTTTAAACAGGATCTCAAGTTAAATACCGTCCCGGCTTCTGCTGCATTGCAGAAAAGCCGTACTGCATCGCCTTGAGGACCAAACGATTTCACCCGAGCACACTGTAGTACACCAAAAAGTACTAGCAAGTCCTTCGGGAAGAACCACCTGGGGCGATCGGGGTCATCGTTACGGCAACAAACTGCGTTTGAGGAACATCGAGCTCACGGTACAAAAATACAGAGCTTAAGCGCTGCATGACTAGGTGAATCTGAGAAAGCAGACAGGTAAGCAAGACAATTGTTTCGTAGTACTTTTTACATGCTACCCAGTCATCCGAGTTGATACTACTTTATATGGGCTCAGTGGATTCGAACCAGGAATTCCAGTAGGCAATCTGGAACATCCCATCCTTTTTACTCATGCTTCCATGTTGGGAATATGTTTTTTCGTCGTTTCGCTTTATGTATTTGTCACAGAATGCACATATCTCACCAATGTGCCCTGGAATTAGTTTGCAGCTTGAACGCAGTTTTATTAGTTGGTACTGTGCAAATAAGTCTGGTTAGCGGCTACACGAAATTTTCTCAAATATAGTACCTCAGTAGGCCGACCAATAATACCATGACGGTTCTGAGGTCGCGATGTTTCGGAAACCATATGCCCAACGGCTTCAAGAGACAGAACAGGCCAGGCTTCAGCTGTCGCATCAAGCCTGTGCGTTCACACACAATAACACGAGAAGGTCACAGAATTTGCAATCGAAATGTTCATCGATGATGGGACCTTAGCCTGCTGTGCTGCTTGGATGAGTCATTCTGAATTAGGCAGCTAGTCGACCTATAGACCCACACCCGACATGGCTGCGGGGATACGTCGCGCCACTCTAGTACCGTTAGCAGGTACGGTACAGTATCAGTGCGCAAGTTTTCTTATTAGATGGGTTGACTGCAGTGCAAGGAATAATCAGCTGTGCAACGAAGTAAAGATAAGCAAGGCGGATCGCTTATCTTATTTGCCACCGCGTATCACTACCCAGGTAATACAAGGCTGTTAGTATTCTCTACAAAACATTTGTTATGCAGTTCGTAGGCATACTGAAGAGGGAAATCAACTCTCCCGCCATTAATCTCCGGGTGTTTTATAAACAGCCTTTTCTAGGGGGAATCTCAAACGGCTATAAGGACGTAATTGTTGTTTTTAGCAGCCATCCTAAGATGTTGTACGATGGAGCGGCTCGATTGTAACGTTTGTCGCTACAGAACTAGCTGTGGACATCTTGAACACCAATTCTGTAGACCGTGGATACCCAAGTGCGTGGTAAAAATGCGATCAATGGATTGTACAGTTTGTTGAAAAAGAACTGCAAAAACTCAAAGCTGATAAAGTCCTGTTTTGAAAAACAGCTGTTTCATCCTTATTAGGAATCAGCAGCAGCACGCATCTCCAGTGAGTTTCGAACCATCGACCTCTCGGCTGGTAGTTTGACCCTCAATTGGGGCGAGATGGCCCAAGTGGTAAGAGCGCGAATTTACTGACCGGAAGGTCCGTGGTTCGAATCCGACTTCCGCCTCTCGACTTCCCCTGTCTAGGCCTGGGCAACCTGGCAGTATCCCAGCCCTCGTGCTTCCTTCGGGTAGCATGGCAGCTAGGCACCGGGAGAGTGCTACAGCTTAACGCATTAGAACCCTCAATCGTCCGGCCAGGAGTGTGACTAGCTCGCATTTGGAATATAGCGCTAATCATCACCATCGAACAAATTTAAGATGTATTGAAGGGGTAATTGTAATAGGGTGAATGACACCACGAATATTTCATCGTTAGCGAGTGGCATATGTAGCAACGATACCATTTTTATAAATTTCATACGACTTTGTCTGTTTCACATGAAGTATAGGTGAATCATTCATACCCTCACATAGGTCGTCTCCGTGATCAACCAAAACACTTCCACATCTTCGACTCCTCCAAGGACTTCCCCTCTTGAGTTGAGGGATGTCTATTTCCACAAAACCAGCATCTTATCGGCCAACTAGTCTGAATGACGTCTGCGACTGAATCGTCAAATTAATTGAATCAGACTGTTGCTGAATACTACTCACTTCATAGATCACCGCAAAAGTTTCGAACACAAATGGCACGAAAAGGTGTATTCCCCAGTCCCAACCACCTAATCTGGCTCCGGGGTCAAACGCGCATCACCACTAACGCAATAGTTAACTTAATTACGCCGACAAAGTTATACATAAGGTACCGAATCTGATGGCCAGTTCAAACTCTATCTCTGGTGTGGTATAACATGAGTTAGTCGATAATTGTTATATACATTGGTGTCTCTGGATTCGCAATTCAACCGAATTGTGTATGTCCATGAGTGCGTATTACGGAAGTACTACTTCGTGAAAACTTATTGTGCCTTGTTCCCTAATCGTTGTTTGCATGCACGGCTTAAAAAGTTGCAGCACTTCGCAGCCAGAGGTTGATGGAAATCATAGCCTGGTCAGTGCTATGGATGACTGACCCGTTGATTGACCTTCATGCGAAACAAAAACCCATTCTATAAGTCTTTTGTAGTAGAGGTACTCAGGCATGAAATACTAGTCCCAAATGCTCTGCAGTAAGGACCACTTCTCATCAACACGGTACGCTGATGGCAAGGGATCAACCTCCAATCCAGTAATTTCGGTTCTTGCACGTACCGACTTACAGCGGAGTTGAAATTCAGAGAAACAATGCAGAAGTTTCAAATTACATGTAATTTATCAACCTAGTAGCCGTAGTATCCGTCACGATACTCAGGGAGACAGTACAACAAGCGTTGCTGCGATTGTCGATTGACAAGGCCATCCCCTGATGTTCTACAGAATCTGAAAGCATACTTCAAAGGTCGTACAATAAAGCAAGTCCATCCTCAAATAGTCAAAAGTTGACAAACTTGCGAATGAGGTTATGGACCTCATGCTCCATTCTGAGCTTGAGGTTACTACCTTAGTTTCTCACTCCACTGTTCAACAGAATCTTTGGATGTGCGTGTTGAAACAAGGGCCCTGACCCTGATTAAACTTGAAGTGCGTGCCAGTGGCGTAGGTCGCGTGCATTAGTTAGAGGTAATCAGGGTGAAATCAACACACAGTCACAGTGAACGCTACGTTGTTACAACGCGTATAACGGTGCAGCGCGTCCCGAGTCGTTTGTTTCAATACTTTTAATGACTCTTTTTGCACATTCAGTGACTTTTCATTCAGTCACAAGCGCAGGAAATGCACTTTTCCGCAGTCGAGCTGATTTGCCCACATGTAGCTAAGCTGGTTCAGCTCACACATGCGTCCTGCCAGTGGTCTGAGAGATAGACAAAACTTTGAACGCGCGCATCACGAATATCGGATTGGGGATGCACTTTCCACCAAATGAGGCGAAAGTCACACTGCCCATGCTCCCTGCTAAATGATATCCTGATGGACCAAACACACCGACAAACAGACAAGTCAAAAAGCCCAGCGGTGAGGTCGCTCCCATCTCATTTATGTTCAATGGCTATGCCAACTTCCACCCATTCCCCAACGCAGACATCGCACAAGAAATTCAGCGGGTCGGTCATCGCCACAAGGTCACAGCATTACATCACGACAGTCGCAGCCAGTTACTAAGCAGCTGGAACAGATACTCTCAATACAATCGCACGCCAACATACAGCTACTCAATGTGTGTATATTTTGCTTCATTGTTTGTGCAAGAAGCCAACGCAAGTTACCGTCACATTCAGTTTATGCGAGACCGACACATGCGCAAACAGGTCAGAAACTAAATTATGGCTTGGAGATGGGAAAAATAAAGAATTTGACAGCTGCTACTTACGCACACCTGAGGGCTTGACAAGGCCGGAAACCATATGATAAACTGATCGGTCCGGTGCACACAGCCTGATACATACGTGAAACTGCGCAATATTTCTGTAATGATTATCCGTTCACTCGATCTAGGTGCACACACCTGATACATACGTGAAACTGCGCAATATTTCTGTAATGATTATCCGTTCACTCGATCTAACGTGCCGACGTGGACACGCGGGTACAGGTTAATTCGGATGGTGACGCGTCAGCCCTAAGATCTTGTCGCTGCTGCGGAGCTGTCAGAGGGCTTTTGTGTGGGGAAAATGACTTACTGGTGGGCAAAGTCGTGAACTCTGATGAAGGCGACCTTCATAAGAGGTTAACAGAGAATGCTTGCAATATACTCCCTTGGGAACCACTTATATATGAACGGAGTCTTCTTGAGGACCAACTGTTGACGGGACTGGAAACACGATCTCTATAGGAGTGTTGGGGAGATACAGCATGAAGTTTGAAAATTTGGTACATCGGCCTCAAACTAAAACCATGACAAGTCAGTCGCTTATTAGGGAAAATGGTGGTGGGCTGCTTAACCTCATCCTATCCGACCCTGGGGTTTGCGGTGCTCCTCTGGTAAACTAAGTTTATCTACAAAACTTACCGTAAAATGTTTGTACGCACGAACCACGTGACCCGTTAGCGTTGCTATAGTGAACAGAAAAGGGTTTTTCGCCTTCAAAGCCTGTAATGAGTGAAGAAAATAAGAGCAGGATAACACAACAACAGTGGAATAAAATCCTCAACCGCATCTTAAAGTGACAAAATGAAGAACCAGTTACTTGTTCCATGTACTCATATACACCCTGTACGGATAAGCCCCGAATTGCATGCGGCATACCTAGCACACGGTACAAAAAAGCAGTCCAAAAATAACCAGGATATGTGAAACAAGCGACTATCCTTCAGCCCATCTTATTACCGTAATGATATTTCTCTGTGGAGCGACATGAAAAGAAGTGGCTATTACAATGGTTCATTAGAGAAAACTCATCAAATTATGCGCTGATATTAGCAGCTTGCGATCTAAGGTGAGTGAAAAAGGATTATTCATAGGATAAAACCCACGGAATTTTGAAAGATATCGTACCTTTTCTTTCGCCTCACATAACAAATCGGCCATTACCATACGACCCTCCGCATCCGTATTACCGATACGAACTCGCTTCCCTGCGCGTGAGACTATAATCTCATCTGAAACATAGCTATCTGGACCAATACTGTTTCGCACAAACGCCAGAGATGCAGAAACCGACAGAGCCGGTGGTTGGAGACGACTGAGTGTCATGAAAAAGCCCGCGATCGCTGCGGCTCCGCACTTGTCTCGATGCATCCCGGCCATTACTCCACCGGCCTTCACATCAGCACCCCCGGTGTCGTAAGTGATTCCTTTTCCGATCAGATACAGTGTGGTGTCGATTGTCGTCGAATCTGGTGGTACGTAGTTCAGATGCACGACGCGACCATCATGACGGGACACAACTGCAAAAGACGAAGGTCAGAGTAGAATATGCCCAGTTGCCATTATTTAATCATACTTTAATCCGGATGCTCACCCGATATACATCACTGTTCCTCCCTACGTAGTGGTTTTTTCCCCCAGTAACACTGATGGGATATGTGTACACCAACCATATGGCCTAGTTCATCCACTGGGAACAAAGAGAGACCCTCTGTGATGATCAGTGGAATGAGAATTACCTGAAGCAGCACGATTAACGGCAGCCATCAACGGATACTTCTTGCCATCGACTTTCTCCACATGCATCGTGATACCTTCGGCTCCGCTAAGCACGGACTGTAGGTACTGGACGACTGCTGGAGCAGCCATTCGCTCCGGGTCCGATCCACCAATGTCACGGGCAATCCATCGACCTTCTTCGATAGCAGAGGCAACCTTAAGCAGAGTATCGTCACCATTCACGAGGCCGATATGTGTGACCTTCGGATATTTCTCCGGAAGCATTTCGCGCACCTCCAGTGGCTAAACGGCATAAAAATAAGGCGCAATGAAGCATCACAAAAGTGGTGAATGGTGTGTGCAGAGAAACTTACTGGATAAGCTCTGATTATTGAGGAAGAGGTTCGCTTTGTATGTAATGAGAAGTGGACACAACTGAAATTTTCCATTAAAACCTCAGTCCTACGAATAAGCCATTAAACTGGATAAAAGTGCAAGAGTATCCACCTGATATTATGTCCATAAATTGCTGTTCAAAGGTTTCTGAAAAGTACCCGCTACCTTTATTCGGTCATCTTTAATACTCATAGTGAATATTTAGAAATCAATTATAGTTAACGGGGAGCGAAGCATCAGTGTGAAACATTAACGTTGTACTTCCCGGTGATGGTGATGAATACTCACAAAACATTATCCAACAAAGGGATAAAAGTGTACGTGCCTAGTGTCCTCTTGCTATTCTTATGTCTGAACGGCATGTCATATGTGGTCACCTTCACGAAGTTTTTCTTGAGAAGCCTGAGCATCAATGTAAGGGGGTTCCATCTGTTCAATAGGCGAATTGACTCAATCAGGCCACGTGCCTTACCACCTATTACAGTTGAGAACATTGCTTCGGGACATAGTAACTCCCTCCTTGAAAATCGACCCAGGATCGGGAAGTTGTAGTAATAAGTGAGTAAGAACCAGCAGAAATTGCGCGAGTTTGTGAGCTATAACAATCAATGATAAGAGAAGATCGATAGGATCGTTAACATCATCTGTGCATGATACGAGCCCTGTGCGTACGCGTATCGATTAGCCAATGATCAATACTTCATATTGATTTATAAGATCCAGTGACTGATGTCCACTTGCTTATCCGATCAGCCTTCGGGCCTTTGTCTGCGATGAAATAAACATTCTAAGTAAACCAAGTTTTTTTCATTCAAGTCCACATATAACATTGTAGCCAGCAGGTAGCCGAACACGCGCTTTGCGACTAATACTACTAAAACATAATGAGTATAACAGCGGCATCTACGGCAGCAACAGTTCCGAGATCACCAGAAAAGCCACCGCAACCTTAGCGAAATACACTCATTTGCAAACAAGTTTGGTTTTGCTAGAGACTCAACTGGAACCCAGCTGAATCTCTCGTTTGTGATGCTTCCAGGCAACTGAATGTACTGCATCAGGCCGCCTAATGTTTCAGTCGTTACGATATTCGAGATACATGCATATTCATCATGCATTATTGCACCACTGTAACCTTATTTAACATGCTCTACAGCCAGCTTCTCACAAGCTATGTTTGTGTCATTCGTAATCCAGACATCTAGGATAGGCTTCTGAACCACATTTATTCTAGTTTATTTTAGTCTAATCTTTATCTACTTAGTTACCTGTCGTTGCAAGTACTGGTGAACACAGAACCAGCGAAACGTTATTAGACACAACTGCTATTCTCTGAATATCTGTCAGACAAACGCTATTGGAGCTACCATGTTTTTTCCTAGCTAGCTCGGCTTCCCCTCAGGAGAGTCCACAAGTTTAAGACACAGCCAACTCAACATGTAAGACAAAAATCGATAAACGCCAATTGCGATGGATGATTCAAGGAATGTAGTTTTTATGACTTTTCGTTTTTTCCGATGAGGGGAACCAGCTTCCCTATGCGTATTTCGGGATAAGGATGAGTTCAGTCTAAGCTGAGGAACCAATATTTCAAGTAGGCCTCTGGTGTCAGTGACATGCGTGAACGCACCTACTACTCCAAAATGTCGTAAAACTTACAATCTGTTTATTTTTCCGTCCCTAGTGAAAATCTGATTTCAGTTTTTGAGGACAAAACGGTAAAATATTCCTAAATTTATCCAACACTCTGTCTTCTCATAAACCATATATCAGGGCACGTTCTTTGAAGACGCGTGCATCATATTCATTGAGCGGATCTTCAGCTAACTTATTTATAATGAAAACGTTGAAACAGGCTCTTCGGCAGTCTGTTGAAGATACTGTCATGCGGATCGTTGCCCGAAAGCGCCACATGCGAACGTCGAGTTTGAACACCTTTACGCTCCCCAACTTCGATGATTTATGCCTCCGAAGATGAGTAGTTGGCTACCGTATTTCTCTCCGCTTGTTTTGGCGAAATCAAGTTGGTGTTAACGGAAAGCTGAACTGAAGCCAAGCCTAATCTGTCTCAACCTTGTAAGAAAAACTTTGTTTTCCTAATCACGCTTCCAAGAATGTCAGATTAGGGGACTGTTCAATGGATTTATGTCCGTAGTGTTACACAGTAAACAGCCTGCGCAGCATGAGATGGCGATAACAGCGGAAGTCAACATCCTTTGCAAAGAAGTTTCTACCGAATGGGTGCTTTTCAAAAAGCCATAGGCGGTGATATTAGCTACAAAAACTTTTTTCAATTTGACCGAGCACAATTATTACCTCCATAGCGCAAAATCCCAGAGTATTTTAACGTGTATGAGAATTTCGGCTTCACAAACCTTATAGTTAGGGTACCATGAGTATTCACCACAATACCAACGTTGTGGGCTTTTTTGCTCAAAATATTTTAGAAAGGAGTTTTCCCCTCTTGCTTTTGAGGTTGTAACGGGTTTATTTATTCGTGGGAAAACAGTATTTATGGACTGTCTAATACTTTCCTATAAATATTAAGTCCATTTTTTGAATCAAAAATCTTCAGCAAAAGTTCATCATTTCCGTCCTGAATGAATTCAGAATACTCTTCGGCTGACTGATAACTCAACTCACTATTATCACCAACAGTGTGCTGTGATGTGCGCAGAACCTCCAATAAAAACAATCCGAAATGGATAAGCACAGCTGCTGGATGCCGGGTTCCAAAGTCAATTGCTTCTAGTCGCTAGACAAAGGACCAAGCATTATGTTCCCACAGGGTAAGAAAGTTCCTGTGGCGGCGCCTTTTGGGAAACGCTCAAAAATTGGATAGCATCGTTCAGCCGTCGTATCCTTTTGGGGAATAGCTGCCCCATAGACAAAGGATCAAGCATTGTGTTCCCACAAGATAAGAAAGTTCGTGTGGCAGCGCCTTTTGGGAAGCGCTCAAAAATCGGATAGGATTGTTCAGCTGTCGTATCCTTTTGGGGAATAGCTGCCCCAGTGTTGTACGAGAACCGTCAGATCACCAAAGTCTAGGCAGGTGGGATCGAGAAACCAGAGTCGGGCTCGAACTAAGGTTGAGAAAACGGAGACATCTGCACTAAAACAGCTGGTCACAGTTCCACACCCAGGGTTTGGTAACCGCCGTCACTTCACGAGGTCATGATAGGTTAGTAGATAAGACCTGGTGAAAGCAAGGATCACATCTAACCAAGACACTCCAGCTGTCGAAGGCTGGAGGTTGAGAAAACGAAGACATCTGCACTAAAACAGCTGGTCACATTTCCACACCCAGGGTTTGGTAACCGCCGTAACTTCACGAGGTCATGGTAGGTAAGTAGATAAGGCCTGGTGAAATCAAGGATCACAACTAACAAGACACCCCAGCCGTCGAAGGCTGGTCAGCCGGCTGTGTTGCTAGGGTCACCCAGATGCGTAATCTCCCATTAACAGCTCGTTTAGTTGAACTTTTGGGAAACATATGACAAGTTGTGAGGTAGCGATCATCTGACGCTCGACTGTTTGAAAACCCTTTGTACAAAATGAATAACAGAGGTGATGAAACTCAGAAAACGTCGAAAAAGAAGAAAGCGAACAATGATCGTAAGGAGCATTTTAGACCAACACTGGAACTTGCAGATAAAACTCCCTGAAATTTCTAATCTCATACAGTTCATAAAATGGTAATTTGTTTGTGAATTAAGGCTTCTGTACAGAATTACATAAAACAGCGAAAGTAGCACGAAGAAAGAACATGGTGAGGGTGATCCCATAAATGGTACCAGCCACGTAGCCATCAGCATTTCCGCTATGAATCAACAGTTTACAGTTCCTACACTCAATCAGGTCCTTCAAATTAATTTCGAAGATAACCTGTCAAAACCTGTTACAAACAAGATATTAGCAAAACAAAGCTTCTATAGGGACCTACACCTGGGGACCTTACACCTGCACATTCAGTTTCAATAAAAACAGTTACTGGACTGTGTACCAAACGATCAGCGGACGAGAATGCAAGGTCGGTCTCCAGAGGTCAGAGGGCAGGAGTTAAGAACTCTTGGGGATGGGGAGGTATGGGTGAGGTGACTTGAAAGCCATGAAAAGTGCACGCGGTGCTTTTGGGCAAAAGGTGATGGAACAAATGCTGGATGACAATAGCCTCAGCATAAGCTAGACTGTACAAGAGCCCGTCTTGTCGTACCCATTGTCAATCGAGTTGGTTGGTGAGACACAAGTGCCCAGAAAAGCTGAGACTGAGCACCTTTCGCCGAACCATACTTTTTGTGGGAAGCCAAAATGCTGAGGAAATGTGTGAGTACTTTATGTAGATAGGGAACTGCAGCTTTTCGTCCAATTCTTACTGCGGAGTGATGTCATCCGTGGGTTGTCATATACCACATGGAAGTAGTACACGAATGCAAAACAGATATTATCTGAACTACTTACCGTATAGGCAGCATGATACGCTCCCAGAAGAACGTTCAGCAATATATTCTTACGCTCCATCCATCGGAAACCAACGGATGCAGTTTGCAGCGGACCAACACATAACAGTGGAGCTTTGCATCCCAAAGCGATTGCCCTTTTGATCAAGAAAGGAACGCGTACGTGCCGATTAATAGACAGGAAAATAGGGAACAGGTTCATGAACATTACGGAACCACGATAAGAAACCCCGTAGGTAAGTCAATGAACCCTGATTATCTAAGAGGAACACGGATGACCTGTGACTTGCACATTTGTGCTGTCCCAATGATCGTTCAGATTGGAGAGCAAGTGGACCTGTAGTCAGACAAGGTGCTGTAGAACATAACAATACAGCATACCCCTTGAAGTTCCCAACGCTATGTAAGGTCCACCCCACTCCCATAGGAATCATTCTCTCAATTAACCAA